TTGTGCAGGCTCATCAACCCCAAGACGCAGTGCGTGAAGAACGTGGCCCATTGTGCACTCATACCCTAACACCCTGTGCACGACACATTTGATGTTGGATTATGCGTTTCACGCATGTTGCATCGACATTTCTGTGTATGATATATGTATGTATATATATATGTGTGTGTGTCTATATATGCATGCAAATCATAAATTTGTACATATATGTGTGTGTGGACCTGCAAAATCTGTACATGCAGTCTATCCCCAGTCCGCGAGGATTTGGCGGAGCGTCTGCGCAAGGGCCGGGGCAGCGAGAAAAGCGTGGCTGCGGAGCTTACGTGCCGCGGCGAAGGAGTTGGGGAGTCTTAAATCTGCTGGAGCCGTAATAGCAGGGATATAGGGTTATATAGGGGTTATATAGGGATGGGATAATGGAAAAGAAAATGGAAACTACTATTTAGGGTTTAGGGTTTAAGGTTTAGAGTCTAAACTCCTTAGAGGGGGTCATATAGGGGAGTATATAGGGGACTACTATAGGGGATATTAACGGGGATACTAGGAGTTTAGACTATAGCTCATGTCGGGTTCAGGGTATAACGACGGAGAATCAGATGGCAAAGGGAACGGCACATGCAATGGACACTGGATTTATACAGGGCTTATAGGGAGAGATATAGGGATATTCCCGCAATAATGCAGAATCAAATAGACAAGGAAATGGACAATAAAACGGAAAGGACGGTTATGTAGAAGTTTTTAGGGGTAAAGCGAGCTACTTAAGAAAATGCTCAAGTTATAACCAGGTTGTGACAGATATTCTGATTAACATTAGTGTTTCCTAGTATACCAACCCAGTCTCGAATGAACAGCCCTTCGGGTTTGAGATTTACGGGTGTCATTTGGGCTTTAGCAAATTACCAGTTGATAGGGATTTTATGAGAATGTTCGTGGGAGGGCGTGCAAGATTCTGGATATCATTTGTGGGGATGCCAAACAGATTTTTTCTGAGCGTATGCAGCAGGACCCCTATTCTCAAAAGCCGCCTGCATCCCTATGTGCGGGGTTCCTGAGAGCCCCCTTCGTTAACTGAGAAACTCCCACTCATGGATTTTACGAACCCTAGATGGTGGAGATAAGGCCGGATAAAAAAGCCTAAACCCTTATAGGGTTTAGGTTTACACACTTTCAGACCCCGCGGGCCCCCATTATGCAACATATACTCCCTCCCCAGCCGCCCCTTGTTAACAGCAATATAAACCCTGAAAAATGTGGCCGTTTCGATTTACTTGTCAGCTTTATCCAAGGTCCTAGCCATCGGCCCCTACCTGTTTCCTAGATCCTGATTATGGACCTTGGGCTTGTAGTGTTTTACGTTACCGCGTATGTAACAGGTATATAAGGACCCCGGTCAAGCACACATGCTAGGGGCCATAGCCCCACTCCTAGACAGATAGAGTAATTGTCCATTTCCTTTTCCATGTGATTCCCCATTTATGGGGTGAAATCCTATACACGCTATATAGCTCCTACGTCTTCCTGTATGAGGCCCTAGAAATTCTTTAGTCAGCAGTAAGTTGCCTCGCGAGGCAAGAAGCGTACAATCAGGGCAGCGAGCAGAACCTGACGGCGGCTGGATGCATAATGTAGAACTCCGGAAAACACAGTACCGATATAGGGATGTATATGGTTCACTGATATTTCCTCAAGAATGGAGAATCAAAGGGAAAAGAGGATGAACACTAAACTGAAACTGGGATTATCTTGGGTTCATATAGGGACAATGACAAATTGATGGTCCTGGATTCCTTGTACACCTTCGAGTAACTTAAATAGACCTCAAAGGGATGTTGCTAATTATTTACGCCGCTACATTAGTCGGGCTGTCTGCTAAGGCACCCAAATAAAGTTACCCTCATACGGACATTTTGTTAGAAGCAATGTGAAAACGTTGCCACAAGATGGATATTCAGTAAATGATGGGCTTCAAGAAAGGGGCTTCAAGAACTTCGTGTATATTAAGCTCCTTAGTAGTAAATGAATGGTGCGTGAGCGAGGTGTAAGCCAGGCTGTCTCAAAATCAGAGGTCCCTTGTTGGACCTGCTTTGTTTTTGGTTGAGCCCAGACAGCCTTCTTCCCTAAAGCCTTGCCGAGAAAAAAGGCCATCACTGTCTACTTCCGCTGGCCTACGAAGCGTAGCCACGACCAGGCATATGTGCTGTCTGGAGTTGCAGGAGACCTTACTGTAGGGGCCTAAATAATTACCCTTATTATATATAGGGAGTATGGAAAATGAAATGGAAACTACTATAGTATCTTGGGGTTATATTAGAGTTATCTTCCGGCGCTTCATTGAGTTTTCTTCCAACTATCAAACTAAAAATCGTAGACATGCGGGTTGCTCACTATATGGTAATTTCCCTAATAGGGGGACCCCAATATAGACCCCAAAATACTACAGGGATCCCCAAAAAAGTGCGCCTAATTTTTGGAAGCCTCACTCATATCACCAGGAAACTCATTGTGTTCAGCTCAGAGACTCCCATCTTGTCATGACTAGGGTTTAGGGTTTAGGATTAGTAGGATGAAGAGCATGCTGGGGTCCGTGGAATTGGAGGATCACCAAGAAATGCGCTTCAAGGCCCTACTTCATCCTTGCATCCCTGTATGGCCTCTATGAATCCCATAGAACGTTCTCTAATTCCTGGTATAACCCCTATAACTCTTAGATAGCCAGTGTGTTCCTAGACATATTGAATGCCGGACGCTGTCATGATTAACACAACCTGAGATCACATCACGATAGCTGTTGCTGGTGACGCCAGAAGGACTCCCGTAACTGACCGCATCCCGACGATCCAAGTACCTAAATAGTGCCGAGTAGCTTGGACCCAGATTGGTGCCTGTGTTGTTTTTTGACCCACGCTGTATGCTATCTAGGTACAAGGTGGCAAAGATCAAGACATGGAGTTCAAGGTGTAGGACTATCGTGAGGAGTAATGCTGCCCGCTGCTGCGACTCTTCGTTCTACTAGTACTAGCTTTTAGTCTATTTCATGCGATTGTTGATGCACGTCCTCGACTCAACATGCGGTTGGTTCCTGGCATGTAGTTTCTGGGTCTGTCTGTAGTTGAAAAAAAAACCATGGCACCCAGACTACGGCAGCTGGTCTGCTAGGATTTAGCGGGCAATCAATACCAACCACTGATCCTGCCCTTCTTACACAAATTCAAGGTCTTCCTTTCTTCGCCCATCACAGGCTCTTAATTCAAGGATCACCCCCAAAAGGGGACCCGAGATTTTGAGCTCCTTCCCATTCCACATCTATGTGCAACAGCCACAGTTATCCCCGCGATTAATCTGTTAACAACTAAGTCCACCTGATCCCGCAAGTAAACCGGAGGTCCTAAATCCCAATGAATCCTGTGCCTGTTGGCAGACGCAAAAGTCCGAGGGGTTGAACAAGTCCCTATAGACCCCTACATTTCCCGACATGTTTTTTGAACCCCCCTGCAAGTGCAGGTCAATCCAACTCCTGCGCAGCCCCCGGCCAAGCGGCCGGCGAACGGCGACTCCACGCCCGGACTCCAGGACCCGGCGCCTTGACCCGAACTGGTCGAACTTTAAGGGGCAACATGAGAGGGAATAGGTGCTACAGCGGATTGAATAGGCATTCGTACAGGCTGAAAAAGGGTTCCAGGCTTAAGCTTTTAAATCCCGCCTTATACCGCGTTGTCCAAGGTATATGACCTTTGGGATCATCCAGGGTTTTTAGTGTTAGCAGTAGTGATAGCTTCGGTGGGTCGGGTACTACAGGCATCCAGGAGTTGCTCGCTTTTCAGCTTTTTGATGTTGACTTGGGGTCGAGTCGGCAAATCATGTAGTTCTCATGCGGGGCTTCTTCTGAAGATCCCATTGCCAATACATCGCCAATTGGGAATACACTCCGCACAAACCCAGTTCTGAAGCAAGTAGACTTGCTACATTAAATTCAATATACCATTACACAACAGTTTCCGCTTCATTGTTCCATTTTCTTGTCCATTCGATTTTCGGTTTTGGAGTTATACGCCGCTATGGCAAAGGAGTCGAAGCAAAAAGAAGAGTCGCCAAAACCGAAGGAGGAGGCACCGCTTGAGTAGTATTCTATTTGGGGATTTTATGGTACCCATCATGGAGAAAGATTCTATCCTCCCTTTGGAGTGTAGTATTTTGTATAAGGAATATAATCTTACCAGGTTCAACCACCACAAAAAACGCTACTCGCTTGAATTCGGGGTGGACATCTTAGAAGGGGGAGGAATCGGTTCTTTGAAGTGTCAGGTGGGTGTTGTTTAGGAAGCATCAACAAATGCAGGAAGAGGGCATAGGTGGGAATGGACGTCTGCGTCCCCTGGAACTGTTGCTATGCTTGGCCTGACATGTTGAGTCCTGGTTCAACCTCGTATTTCTGCCATGTTCATCACCCTACACCCACAAACCTTTGAAGCCTCTAACCCTATACCCTCAAGCCACAAACAAGCATTGCCTCCAAAATCCAAGCCTGAAAGAACTTACTGGCGGTTAGTAAATCGAGGGATAGATCCCAGCAGCAGCCTGTGTACGTACTATGGTCGTTTCCGTTTGCGTGTCCGTTCCTTCATTCCCTACCCCTAAGGGTCCAAGCACCTAATAATCATATACTTACCCAAAACCTGTACTATAATTAGTATTAACCAAAACCCAAGTACCTAATTATCGGGTACTTGGACCCTTCGGGTACATTCATTCCCTATTGACAACCAGCAAGAAAAGGCACCGAAGAAGGCTCCTCAAGCAGCTAAGCGTCCGGTGCTGACAGCAGAGGATGTGAGGCGAGGAGCGGATTTTTGAGGTTTCTTCTAAGTAAGAAGGACTTTAGTCCCTAAACCCCTACATATATTGTGGTGAATGAGTCTGTATTGGGCCTCCCCAATTTTTTGTAAAGCCCCACATATATCGGCTCAAGGGCTTGGGTTTTGCCATGTAGCAGCTACCAGAATATGAAAAGGTTTAGTGTAACAGTTAACCTTGCCCCAACCCTAAACCCCAAGCCGTGAAACAGGATCGGCAGGTATAAAAGAAGCGTTAAGAGCGATGTTCTTGGCCAGGTAGGTATATGAAATCACTATATGGCTTACATAGAGTTATATACGGGTTGTACAAGGTTATGTAACTCCAGTTTCCATGTCCATTTTCGTTTCTATTTAGTTCTCCAAGATTGGGGTACTACCGTTATATAGCACTTTATTCTGCGCTGGAAACTCAAGAAGATGTCGTGCCTTCGCAGGTAAGTAACCTTCTCTAAGTCCCCATTATCCGAAAGAGATTCAGGGCTTACATGTAGTATCCTTAGCATTTATTTTTGAGTTTCATTACAGTATAACCCTAAACCCAAACCCTAGGGAATTATTGAAAACAATTTATTGGGGACTACAGTTACATTTTCTCAGGCTAGCGTTCATGGTGCAGATCCTAAAAGCATCACAAGGCAAGGCTACCAATCGTTTGAGCCTAGACCTGTTTCGGATGAAAGCTGCCATATTTCAAAACAAGGTCCTTCATGCCCTTTGATCTTTGCGGTCTAGTGCAACCTATGGGGTGTATTCCTGAGATCGTTGAAAACCTGGCTAGTTGCTTGTTGAAAGTCGTCGCCAAAACCAATCCATCCCTCGTTGCAGCTGCCAGTTCATGCTGAGTCGCCTCATGTCAAAGACCTCAACCTGTATGGCACAAGTAGTAGTAAGAATAGTCATAGCAAGAACAGTAATAATGGTAATGAAAGATAATAGTAATTGTTCTTGCTTTAGTTAGTCATAGTACAGTGCTGTAGCACCTGTCTGGCGACACTGTTTGCCGGATGCTTTGTGTTTGGAGCGCTGCAGGCCAAGAACTGGCATCAGTACCTGTTGCAGAGTTAACAGATGTGCGCAGCCTCAAGCGGTATCTGCAAGGGATTTGTGGAGTGACGAGATTCAGGCAGAGGCTCCTCGATAAGCACGACACTTTGGATGACATGCTGAAACTGGACTCACCGGGTGACCTGCAGCTCGTACTGCTGCCGTTTAGAAATGCGACAGACGATGCGTCTATACAGCAGTACCAAAAGCTGGCAGAGGCTGCTCACCGCGGCGACCCTCATCTCGTCGAGGAGCTTCTGCAGCTGCCACTGCATCCAGACCGCATGTGCATCCAGCATATTGAGAGTCATGGCAAGAGACGTCGCATAGCGCCTAGTAAGCCATTACATCGAAAGCCGCCTCTCTTCTGGGCGTGCAACAGGGGAAGCCCGGAAGTTGTTTGCTTGCTGTTGGAAGCTGGGGCTTCTATCCCTGACGCGGCGCTGGCCGTCGCCTCCAGCAGTGGCCACGCTGACATCGTCTGCTTGCTTCTGCAGGCGGGTGCTTCTGTGAATGATGCTGGGCACCACGCGCCACTTGCAATGGCATCAGCAAAAGGCCACATCGAGATTGTGCGAGTGCTTCTACAGGGTGGAGCAGACCCTGCACAGGATGGCAGCGCATTGACGAGTGCGTCCCTCCACGGCCACACAGAGATTTTCAAACTGCTTTTGGAGTCCCGCGCAACTGTGGACAATCCTGGAAGCTGTGGAGAGACACCTCTGACGGCAGCTTGTGGCGCAGGGTGGAACCACATCATTCAGTTGTTGTTGGAGGCAGGTGCTGACAGCAACAAAGCTGCGGGCCTCCGCACACCTCTTGCGACAGCAGCTGCGAATGGCCATGGAGCCGTGGTGAAGAGGTTATTGGAGGCTGGTGCTGATATTGACAGTGTCACAGGAGGCGTTACGGCTTTGGGCCTCGCAGCGTGCCAGGGCTTCCCAGATTGTGCGATTGTTGCTGGAGGCTGGAGCAGATAAAGACAAGGTCGATGCATCGAGGGCTTTTACTCCGATCTGGTTGGCTTCTCGGGAGGGCCACGTGGACATTGTTCGCCTTCTGCTAGAGGCAGGAGCTGACAAGAATAAGGTTTGCGGTCCTCGTTCTGTCACACCTCTTTCTGTAGCATGCTGCAGAGGCCACATGCCAGTCATGAATTTGCTCAAGGCCACTGGTGCTGCGTGCTCACAAAGCCGCTAATCCTTTCTCGGCTTGCGACGTCACCACAGAGGTCAAGACAGGGGTTTAGGGTGGATTTATGGTCCTGCGTTGCAATGGCCCAGACGACCACGGAGCATCCGCCCTAATCAGACAACACAACATCTGCACTGGATGCTTAGTCTGGCGGAAGCCGTGCCATTGCAGCAGAATGCCTTTCAATCAGCGCCCCAGAGTCCCAGACTCAGGTACCTGTGTTCACCATGTTGATCCTTGGCGGGCTCTCTTATGAGCGCAGCTGAGCAGAGATCAAAACCTCCTTATTTTGGAAAGACAGGGGCTTGCAGAAACAAGGTTCGGCGTAAGCAAAGTATTGTGTTTAGTAATTTATGGTAAGCAACTCTGTGGCAACTATGCGCGAACTTCTAGTGGTATCCTTTCTTCAGTTCCCTGCTGCCCACCAAAAAAGTTGCCAGCTGAACGGTGCCCGAAACCCTAATCCTACTTTATTTCGGAAACAAAAATGGGGGTTTCCTAAAATTAGGGATACCATTCTGGGGGTCCCCTACCAAATGCTTACAAAGCTTATGTTTGCCAAGCTTTTGCTTGCGACATGACTTTGTTGTTGTTTCTGCTTACGCCGCTTACGCCGGCTTGTTGCAGCTGCTGCAACTGCAAGGACTGGTTCTGCATCGGACGTCAACACCAACAAAAACAACAGCTTACGACGCAATAGTCCCCAAAGCCCATCCTATCACGTTCTGTTGCTCCCCACCCAACACCAGCAAGCAGAGCAGCCACAGGATATGATGGCTGCTGCCACTCTAATTTAAAGTATTTGCAGACACGTAGAAAAAGCGCAGCTGCAGCAAATGCTGAGGGGTGGGGGTAGATGAAAGAGTGTTTAAATGAGGGGCCGTGATCAATACCGCGAGAGTTTTTGAGTGTGGGCCTTAGACCAAAGGGCTCCAAAGGCGGGATGATAAGCCCCAATACAGCAGAGTATACACTAAGGATCCTTTAGCCCACCTACCTTCATCCCACCTTTTGAGCTCCTGATCAGGTGCCAAGACACCTAGTCGCGCGAGGTGAGCTTGAAAGCCCAGCTGAAACACCGCAAACTTCCTAAAAGGCGAACTGCGCAGGGAATGTTAACAGACGTTTGTGTTCTTCATTCATGTTGTATGCAGCTTTAACAGCTTTACATAGGGTATTACTTGTACTGGTGTCCTCGATTCACCTCGTGTTAATTTGGAATGAGGGAAGCGATCCTCAGTAGTCCTTTTGTACTCCCTAGACTGGTCCTGCTTCGTGCCACCCCTAAAACCTAGACCCTAAATGTCGGGGGGCCAAAGATCTAAGGAACTCCAGGGTTGGACGCTCAAACTGTGTCATCTGAATGGTAATGCGGAATGCCTTGACAGTATGATCCCCGCATAATCCTTATACACTCCAAGATAGAGGCTACCTAAGGGCTCCTGTGTAGCTCCTTTTTGGGTCTGCTATGGCTTTATGGGAAGGGATTACAGTATACTACCCAAAACGGAACTACATAGGAGAGCCTGGGTAGTTACTGTAGTTATTGAGGCCCCAGCGACTGTAATTGTTCTGGATGCGCCAGGAAGGAGAAAGCGTGCCGAAGGACAAATCGCGGGTGCCCTTGGTTGCAGAGGAATATGGGGGCGGGTCACAGCGAGAACACTGGAGAGTAATATTGGGGACATTCTTTTTGAAAGCTTCCCCCACTCAAGGATGTGATTCTGATGATCATGGTGAATGGTGTGTTCATCCTTACCAGCTCCCGCAGTACCGCCAGTGCTGGCGACTAGCATCTTCTGGACAATGTTGTTCATTTCTACGCTGCAATTACGGCCAAAGATCTTGCAATTGTTGGTAATGGGGCACTACTTGCGTACTTTGCAAGTGGCAAGTGGCTTTGGAAGCCTGAACCCAGATAAGTCCCACAGCTGGAAGAGACCCTTAGGAGCCTCAGAGAAATTGCTGTTGATATTGCCAACTATCACGCTCCTGATGTTGAAATAATCGGCACTCTGGGCGCCGACGCTTTGGGAGCCAGCCCTTTCTTCAGATTCAATGCGGTCTAGAGCAGAGGGGTCAAGAGCTCAAGAGATAAGACGTCAGCTCTGGCTTTTAGGGTTTGGGATTGAGGGTTTGGGTCTATTCAGAGGGCTTACACATCGCGGTTGGAGATTATGGTCTAGTTGCTAGCCTCAGGTTTGGGGTGGAAGCCGCAGTGAAGAGGGAATGAAGAGAAGCGAATTGGTGAACCGGAAGGTGCCAACATTTCAACCCTGATTGCTGATGCCATTTGGTTTCCAGGTCTAGCTGCAGGTGCAGCTAGTCCCAAGCACCCAGATGCGTTGACGTTCCACAAATCGGTTTCGGGTTTCAGGGCGCAGTTTTCCAGCTTGGACGAATTCAGAGTCCGAGGCAGGGCATACAACTTCATGGGTCCCTCCGCACAGTTTAGAGGTTGGATTGGCTCTATGGCGGCTGGGTACCATGCATCATATAGTCCACCATTGCTGAATGTCGCAAAATCCCGGTGCTGATTTGAAGCTGCATGGGGGATGCTGCTACAGGTTACGATGCTACAACACTCCTAAGTAAAGGAAGTGGGGGGGTTCAGAATCCCTCCCCCACAACTGCCTGACATCTTGAATAAGTCTACCGGACATGCAGGGATAGGAAACGTTCTCAGATAATTACCTCTAAGAGATAGGTAGAGACAGGTCGAGATGGGGAAATGGATCTTGCTCTCGGTGAGAGCTGTCCTGAACGCCAATGATCGTACAATTCCCGCGCATTGTCCCAGGCACGAACGTGTCCCGTCGCCAACACCTGCAACGCTTATCGAAGAGCAACGCCCGGGTGATCAGGCCAGCTGCTTATGAGACATTCTGTTTGTAGCTGTGATCATGTGAAGCCAATGAGGATGTGGAACCCTGTGGGATTCGCAAGCCCTCAAACAACTGAGGGCAACCGGTCTATGGGCACATGTGGCATAGAGCGTTTTGGGTGACCTTGAGCATAGCTTGCCATGGGCAGATTTTGTTTACATTGCAGTACCCTCTTGACTGAAGATGTGCTTGTCCTGCAAGCCATTGGGTGCAACAAGCAATTTGCCAGTTTGTCTTTCAAGCGGCCTCAAGTCGATTTCACCTGCCTGGGCAGCTTTATGCTAGCAATCTTGGCATATAACCACGACCTATAAGTTCTGTTTTCAGCGATTTAGACGACAAGGTGCTTCGAAGCACTCCTTCCCAAAGCAGTCATCAGGCAAATTCGACAGTCTACTGCGGAAATGGTTTTAATGTATCTCTTGTGTACTCAACCTATGTCTGCATGAGCTCCTATGCACTTTAGGAGGAGGGTTTAGGGTGCATGTGCAGGTCGCCCATACTGTGAGAGACCACCGTTCCAAGGCAGAGCACGAGCTGCAGATCCTCCGCGTATCAGGCAAGTGCAGGGTTGTGTGGGTTTAGGGGTGTTAGGGTCCAGAGGCTAGGGGTTTAGGGTAAAGTTTAGTGGTTTAGGGGTTTAAGGTTTAGGGGTTTTTGGTTTAGTGGTCTAGGGTTTAGGGGGGGTTGGGTTTTAGGCTTCCTGAGAACTGAAACCAGGTGCCCGGGGCTTGGGGGGACAGTAGGATGGAGATCTCCAGTGGCTGAGGAGTGTCCCAAGCTTTGCTAGGGTTGCACTCGCAGGCTGGGGCGCCAGGAGTCCTAATGTTTAGAGGTTTATCCAAACCTCATCCAAGGGTGGGGGAAGCTCCAGGACAAAAAGAATTTGTTGAACAGGACCTGTGACCCAGGGGCTTTCCTCTTGCATGTGAGCAGGTGCTTGTTAGGCTCCGCAATGAGGAGTGCATGCCATGAATCATCATTGATGCTTGATCCCTGGAAAGCAAGATGTACATGCCGCTTGACCGCCACAAAGTGCCCCTACTGTAACCCTTATCCGCAACCCAAGCATGCCGCACCGGCTAGAGAAGTTGACCGCTTCAACAACGCTTCAAACTGCTGTGCGCCTTGAAGGGGCGCTGTTCCAAGACGGTGATGGCGACGTTGCTCATGAGCTACTTGTCGAGAAAGCTTGGCCGTAGGTAGCTCGAGTTAGGACTGAAATGATGCCCCGACCATTCTATGATTGTCTATGATAGATGATCTAGAAGCCCTTCCATTCGCTCATGTTGGTCTAGCCTCAGCTGATGCCATGCTGTTCACATGATCTCTTGTGAAAGCCAAGGGATGTCTCGTGCTTCTTCTGAAGCAGGTATAACTCCAGGCAACGCATAGTCTTCATCCCTGCTAGAACCCCTGTACCCCCCTCACTTCACATGTATTCTCCACACGGTGCGCCTGATAAGGCATCCTTTTGCAAGTCTCAGGGAAAGGTAGCAACTGAGCCCCACACCCTACACTGGCAGTTCCCTGAAAATAATAGTTTATTTCTGTTCCAGGGGTCCAGGGAACATGGAGTAAACCCTAGACCTGACAGCCTAACCGTCGAAACCTCCACCCCAACGAGAGCACTTGAGGCCAGCCAAGACAATCCTTTTGGGTTTGGGGTTTCGGGTTTAGAGGTTTTGGGGTTTAGGGTTTAGGGGTTTAGGGGTTTGGGGTTTAGGGGTTTAGGGTTTAGGGGTTTAGGAGTTTAGGGATTTAGGTTTTAGGAATTTAGGGTTTAGGGGGTTTTAGGGGTTTTGGGCTCTGAATCTTTACTTGCAGGTTCGTAGTTATTAGCAAGGGTATAGCCAGGATGAACATGCTTGCAATCAGATTCAGAATACTTATAAACTGGGAACCTTGAGGCGCCCTCACCCGACGTCATCATACACGGTGATTTATAGAGGATAGTACCAAAATGGCCTTAAATTCGGGATTGGAATTTGGAATAAGCAATTTACTACAACCATGAGTATAATCAACGCTGACAAAGAACCTCGAGATCCAATGAGCTGCGCCCACTTGCATACCAGGACGTATGCCCCCTGAACTCTGAATGGGATTGTCTCCTAGGTACCCCGGTAGTGCACTTTTTCGTTTTTTATTTGGTGGTTTCCTTATTAAAGCTGAATAGTAGGAAAAATGGTACCCTTATTAAGGGTTACTGGGGAACTTAGTCTTTCAAGCCAAAGCGAGGGGCTGTAAAAGCACATGCAGGATGATCAACACTAAACACTATAAAGCCTAAACCCCAAGCACTTAGTCTTTCAACTTACCGTTCTCAGTAGGGAATACGGGGAATATGTTATATGGGGACTATATTGGCATTATGTCCCCTTGCTAAGAACCAGTGAGTTAAGTTGAAACCGTACCAGTTCAGGCAGTTGCAGTTGCAAGAAGACGCATCCAAAATCTCAAGCCTTATGCCCTTAACCTTAAACCTCAAATATCGTGGTTCCATTTTCTTCTCCATCATTTATTACTCAGCCCTATAAACCTTAAAGCCTCAATAACATAGTGGCTTCCATTTTCCTTTCCATTCTCACAAAGTAAGACTATTCTATCTAATAACCCCAATATATACCCTCTTAGAATATAGTAGTTTCTATTTTCTTCTCCATTATCCCTCTATAACCCGTATAAAGCCCCCTCAAATCTCTTCAGGTTCCTTGGCGAGTCCAACGGCGGCCTTGAGGTCTTGAAAGCGGTTAAGGTCTGACTGGCTTTTGAGGACGCAGCAGGCGGGGAGATGTAGGGGGTTTAGTAGGGGTTGTAGGGTCAGTGTTTAGGGGTTTAGGGTTCAGGGTATTTAGGGTTTAGGGTCTAGGGTTTAGGGTCTAGGGCTTATAAGCTTAGGGCTCTAGGGACTTAGGGTTCAAAGGTTCCAGATGTTTGTAGGGTCCTCAGTACAGTACTCGGGGCTGTTAGGGTTTTGGGGTTTAATTAGGGTCTCCCGCAGGGCTTTCCAAAGTGATGCAATCGCTCAAGATTAGGGGGTGTGGTAGGGTATGGTGGAGGGCAAAATATTAGTATCAAGCAATGAGTACTGTTGCAGGTTTCAGGAGCCCAGTGGTAGGGGCCAGCGAAGGGCATCGTACAATTTTTTTGAAATATTCAGTAGTTTCGTCGCCCAACTAGCTATCCAACCATGGTAAGAAAGCAGCTTCTTTTGGCATATTTCGGCTCATTCAGCATATTGATAGGACAGAGTTTTATTTACAAAGTGCGCTGAGGTTGGGAGGACCCGCGCTTTTACGCTCAGTATACCCCCTTTGTTGGTACAGAAGGGCAGGCTGAAGACCAGCCACATTAAGAGTAGAAACAAAGGCAAATCCACTCCGTGCAAAGTTTTCTTTTGGAAGCTCCAGGTCTTCATTTCATTCAATACTATCTGAATTCTGAGGCTGCAGCAAAACGGGTATCCCCAAATAGGCCCTAAAAATTGTTGATGCCCCCGGAGCAGTACTTCCGTTAACTTGCCAGCATCGGAGTCTGCAGGCTGGACCCCGCAGCATTGACATGCCATCTAAGCATTAGGAGCTTGGATACAGGTCGGGGGAGCTTACATGCGCCCCTATACTTGCTGGGGCCTAGTATGGAAACAGGGAATATAACTTACAGGGATTATACTCCCGTATTCCCTACGAACCACCAGTCAGAAGACGGACCTTTGAGGGATTGAGCAACGCGGCGCACTGCAGTGCAAAGCCGAAATTGTTAATCCTTGGACCACAAAGCCAACATAACGGAATCGGGGATGCCTCCAAAATAGGAATTTGCCATTGCAGGATGAAATGGAAACTCCTTTATGGGGCTTAGGGCTTCAGATAGGAAAAATGGAGACTCGGATGGAAAGAAGAGTGAAGCTGAAATGGAGTGTGGGAGAATATTTTCTGGCTGGTTTATACGGATTAATGATTCGGGTTAATGATATGTCGGCGAAAAAACGATCCTTTTCCAGGCAATTATCAAGCTTCTGGGTGATGGGAGAATAGTCACTTCCATCGTTACTAAGAGCATGCGGGGACCCTAAACCCAACTGTTCTCCAGGCAATTTCGCAGCCTTGCCCACTCAGTCCCTGAAAGCAAAATGCAGGGCACTAAACAATTACAAGCGCTGTGGTCGTAAATTCCTTATACAATTACCTAGTGAAGGGTACCTCGAATAGACCTCGACATGATATGTGTACTTATTTGTATCCCCTTAATAAGCCTTGTAGTAGTCCCCAATATAATCCTGTATATAACCCCTTTAAGGAGTAGACTATAGCTCATATAGGCCCCCTGTACCGGGCATCCCGCCAGTGCACCTTTTCAGACGCCAGGACGCCAACCCACGCTGACGACTGCGGAGAAAAGCAGATCCAGGGGGCCCTGGGTTTTAAAGGGGTTTAGAGGGATGATACAGGGGTGTATAGGGATAATGGAAAATAGAATGGAAACTACAATGTTGGGGTTTATAGAGGGTTTGGGTATGTGAATGCTGCATGCTGAGCGTGTCAACGCATGTTGTTTTGGGTTCCTAGCACGCTGAGGTCTGAGCAACTCTTGTGGACGATCTTTAATTAATTACTTCAGTTCCAATGGCCATCCATTTTTGCATGAACATCCCGCATGTTCTGCAGAAGGTCGTCTGGGACTCAGATGTCTTCGTACTTGTAAGCAGATGGTTCTGGTCATAGAGGACAGCAGTCGAAGACGGTAGTGAGGCCGCTGCAGGGATTACCTGTGAGGGCTCTAGCACGCGTCTTGTTTGCGCGCCTATCTGTTCGAAAGCTTACATGAGCTCTGTGCTGCAAATCTGATGCTTCCACAACTTTGCCTCAAAGCTCACATGACATCCGCCCGCGCGCCGCCGCGTTTCCCATCTTTAGCAGTGCCAAGCGTGCACCGCCGGGGCCAACACAGGCGGCCTGTTTTGCGGGAGGTCCAGGCTTCTGGTTTCAAACCCTGCGCGGGCTTGCAATTTGACAATTGTGTTTCGGGATGGCTTTCTGTTGAAGGTTGAAGAAAAGCCCGCAACGCTAAAGCCCAAGCCCTGAGCCCAAAGTAGCAGTCCCAAGTGCAAGAAAGAGAGATAGTGTTTCCATTGCATTTCCCTTTTTTCCCATTTGATGCTTCATTATCGGAAAGGTCGTTTCAGTTGGGACCTCATCGGACATCTGTGGTTTCCATAAATTGCAGCCCTTTTTGGGGGGGTCCGAACAAGGATCAAACGAAGTGGCCATCCTAGTTGCGGAAACCTCTGATCATTATGGCTTTGGGAGCCGCCCTACTTGCGGGGTAGACTTTGCGTACAGGCTCAAGACGTATATCGGGGCTACAGGGGTGCGAATGTCAGACATCTTCCTCCGAAAGCTTTTCGGAACGCAAAACCCAAAGCTGGCCAGACTTGTAAGCTTTGTATAATCCCTATACTACCCCTATATGAGCCCTATGTAACTCCGATATTACCCCTATATTACCCTTATATATAACCCCTATACAAGCCCATAATGCCCCTATATTACCGGTATATATGATCCAGGGTTGCTACTCCCCCTCCCCACTCCCCCCATGGTATGGTCCCCCCTCCCCCCTGTGAACCTTGTGGTTGCTGGCAGTTCTCCCCCCCTCCGTGGCATCATGCTGTGTTGATGATTCTCCCCCCCCTGTGGTCCCTGTGGTTGTTTGATGATCCTCTGCAGTGACGAGGGCTTAGGCGCTCCAAAAATCTTTTGTTAAGATTCCATCGTTCTAGTACTCCTTGTGCCCTCACATGAAGCAGCTTTAGCTGCCAAGGTTGGAGCCTGGTTACTACATGGGTAGATGTGCTTTTATCAATGTGATTGAGGTAGGTAGTATAGCAATACTTGCCAACATTCTACTAGCAGCAGAGGTAGCAACCATGACAGCAATAATGATACAAGTAGTCTTCAGTGGTAGTCACAGCCATAGGCTTTACAAGCACCCTTCTTAGTAAACTTCGTGACCGTCAACGCCAAGCCTAAGCCTTCAACCGTAAACCCTACTTGCGCAATAGCCCTCAGTTTCCTCCTTTGGACTTAGCTTGCACCTTCGACCCTAAGCCCTCTGGGATTCCCTTATAGTCCTATGATAGGCACCTAAAGGTTGACCCCTAAACCCTTAGCCTTAATCCCTATACAAGCCCTACATAACCCTATAATAGAGTAGTTTCCATTTTCTTTTCCATTAATTTTCCAAGTAAGGGTCCGAAGTCACACGTAGTTTCAGGAGGCGCGCTAAGTAGCTGCCAGCATGCCGATTGAGCGCGGCGCTCAGGGAGAGGTATAGGGTTTAGAGTTTAGAGTCTAGGATGTAGGGTTTAGTAGAAATTGACTAGGAGGGGAAAAGAAAAGGAAATTACGATTTAGGGTTTAGTGTGCTATAGAATTTTGATAGGGTTAGTGTCCGGAGTTTCGGGTTTTCAGCATTGTTCTTTTGAACTTCGTATGTAGCCCTGCCCTATACAAGTTCGGCGTATTATCCTGGGCATGAGGGTTCAAGGTGTAGGGTTAAGGGGGTTTAAAAGGGGTTACGTAGGAACATATTGGGGAGTGGACAAGAAAATACAAGCAACTCTATCCTTGGGGGCTACATTGGGACTACTTGCCGCGCTTCGGCTTGAGAAGATTTTGCGCTGTCTGTTTCCCATCAATGGCCCCCGTAGCCATGGTGTAGAAGACTGAAGATTCCTGGTCCTAGATTCCTCGTATTGCTATGCTACAGGGTACCTCAAACAAACCGCAATATACAACTGGCAATGATTTCGACCCTTACAGTATACTCCCAAAGAGCAGGGTCTTTTTAAGAAATGCAAAGAATCTCAGAACAGTGAAGGTGGTAGACGTGAATTAGTTACCACAGTATGGATATTTGATATAGGGTACATGATATGGTTTCCGAATGGCGGTGTAACTTGCTTTAACACCAACCTAAGGATCCACTGGCACATGTTTGCAAACTTGAGAGTCCCTTTTCTTACTTGGGGTTAGTAAGGAAGAAAGGGAACATTATTCCTATATCACCCCCATTCAATAGATTCCCTTATTCCCTACTGCACCCCAGTAAGTTATGGGGGAACCTTTGCCTAAGACTCACATTAGTCCCCCTTAAGTAGATAGAATATGGGGTATATGGGGGTCTTATTACCATATACCCAAAGCCATATTCTATCTACTTAAGGGGACTATACGTCGGGGCGCAAATCAGTGGGCCGGCTCGATCAGGCTGCGCGTGTGGGTGCCGAGGTTGTGAAGTCATATGATTCGGAACTCTTTCAATATAACCCAGAAATAAACCCTATATAACCCCCATAAAGCCCTATATACTGTAGTAGTTTCCATTTTCTTTTCCATTATCCCAAAATAACTCAGTATAAACCCTATATAACCTTCCTAAAACCCTATAGAATGTAGTAGTTTCCATTTTCTTTTCCATTATCCCAATAGTACCAAATGAATTTGGGAGCAAGCCATGGTGCAATCATCGTCATGTAGCTTACCAGAACCTGCAGACGCTACTGGGATCCCTGAAGTGTTTCCACATGTTTTCTTTCTAGTAATAGGGTGAATAATTGTTCTTGTAGTCCGAGGCGCTGATGTGCAGATTTCTTTGTTTCCGATACCATAGCCAGGCATTTCCTGAGGATGGGGGCATAGGCTTTGAAGGAAGTTATCCACCACCCTGCTACTTGCCGCCCTGAGACTACTCCATAAC